TTAAGTGCATGCGAATGACTAAGTGCTACATCGTAGTTTTCTAAATACATTAACTTACAACAATTAATTATCATAAACCAAAAGTTATTTCCAAATATAAAAGTCAGAGCTCTTTTACATTAAATGGAATTAAAATCAATAATAAAGTCTCCAAATTTTAGAATACATATGCTCTAACAATAACCATCCATCACGATAAAAATTATACATTCTCAAAACTCAAATTAAATGATAACAAATTATATATTTATATAAAAATTTTGATCAATTATAAACGTTCGACTATCCTCAGCAATTCTTCCCGATCCTTTTCTCCAAATTAACTTGAAAAATAAATATAACAGCGAAGTATATAATATGACAGGGAAAGATGTGCTCATGAGAATAGATATTGAATCAAATTAGAGCAACTCAATCAATAAGAATCACATAACCATACATCAATTCATATCCCATGCTATGTCAAATCCGTGCTATAAGAGATCTTTACATTCTCACAACGACTACGATATCTACCCACCCCATCCGCGCAAAACATGATCCCTGTATCGATATATACCACATGTACCAACATATATCACATATACAACACAAATCCAATGAAACCCTAGAAATGCGAAATCATAGATAAAATATAATACAAATATGGAATAATCAAGAATATTACTATTTGCAAAGACATTTAGGAATAGCAAATCCTGTACCTCAAAGTGTTACATGATTCGAGAACTTTTAGTTTTTTCATTGAAATATAGGATATGTTCTCTCTCTCTCTAAGTATTTAGAAGTGCTTAGAGTGTTTTCGAAGATGCGGTAGAATGAAGAATAAGATATTTGTAGCAGGGCTTGACTTGGTAAGGGCAATGAAAGAAACCGACTCAAAATACAAAGGAGACTATCGACCAGGTTCAAAGAAGATCTACCAGTTACAGGTTTTGTCCAAACCGAATTTGGTGCAAATTTTTTGTAAAATTATGCTCTTACCCCTAAACTTTTTAATTCACCCTAAATGTGTATATAATGAATTTTTGACATTCTTGATCTATTTTTAATGTTATATTATGTTAACGACATTTATTTTTATAAGTAATCTCAAAATCTACTCAAAAATCATGCCAAATTAATACCTGAAATAACGAAATGATTATTGTACCCTTTTGAAGTGCAATACTATCCAATCACCAATCTTATGGTTTCTCAACATTTTGAATTCAATTGTAATATTATTATCACCTAAAAACATTCAGATTAATGACCAATCATAAAATAAAATCTTAATTATGTTTTCATCCCCAAACTTCCCAAAAAAAAAAAATCTAAATTCGACAAAGTTGAATACCACACCAAAGAAAGTTACTCAATCAGTATTATCCTCAATTGTTTTCAATATTCCATCATGAATCATATAAAACTTTTAATTCCCACTTTGGGGTGTTACACTAAGTGATCTCATAAGTAAAATGTGCTTGAAATAATTTGTTGACCCTATGCATGGTTAAGAAAATTTTGATCATAACAAACATTCATGTATTACTAATCATCTTCTTGTGAGTCTAGCTAAAAATGTTGCACAGGTTTAATATGAGATGTGGTAGAATGAACAATGTGTTACACGTTTTATGAAGAATCAAAATAGAAGATGTGCTTGAGTTGAGTGAATATGATAAAATGCAACTACATGAAGAAAATGAGCATCATGAATATAGGTAGGTTAAGTAGTCGATTGAAAAAGAAGAGCATGGCATGATATGCTTCTTTAACAACCTTGTTGGTTTGATGTGCATATGAGGGCAACTTGAAGAGGTTAAAGATCATGGTTATATGATCATTATTCAAGTTAGGAATTTAATTATGGTGGTTGAGAAGGATAGTTGAAAGATCAAGGCAAAAAAGTGAAAGAAACAATCCAAGAAGGAAAAATGTTGAAATCGTCAATTTGGAATAGTTTCTGTAATATTGGAATAACTTTTGATCAAGATGTCCAATTGATTTGATTCAAGTATGGATGTAAAGAAGACTTCAAGATCTGCAAGTCTGGAAGAAATATGCTTTCAAATTCTAACGTTTTGAGGGTGACAATTGTATTGAAAGACTGTGGCAATGCATAGAATTAGTATGTCGGATGCTTGAAGAGGTATACTGGTTGGATGAAGAGATATACTAGTTGACTAAACCGGTATATCGGTTAGGGAACTACAAAAGCTAAAGACCTTTCAGTATCTCCATCTAATGGCCTTAGATGAATTGGCAAAGTGCCTCTGTCAACCATTGAAGGCACCAACTGCTAGTTTTTGGCCTCCATCTATGTCTATTTTCTTCCACTATAAATAGTCATTGTGAAGACATTGAAGCAAGGTTTTTCGGGGGGGGGGGGGGGAATTATTGGAGAGTTCTTGAGCATTCAAAGGGTGATTTACATATCAAAAAAAGATCATTATTGTGAAATCTGGCTACAAGGTCAATTATGATTGTCTCCCTCTTTGAGTGTAATTGAGTGAAATTTTGCTTGTAAAGAGAGGAGATATTATTGTATTGAGTGAGCTTGAGAGTGTTTCTATTGAGCTTGAATTGTAAATGTGTGTCTTCAACTATTAAGGAAGACAAGGCTTTTAAGGGGTTTGATCTTCACCCGTTGAAGGATATAGTGATAGTGAAAGAAGCTTCGTGATGGAGGGCATAAGAGGATATAGGTCATCGTGGTTGAGGCCAAACCTCCATAAATCTTGTTTGTTTTTTTTCTTCCCTGCTACTTATCATATATATCATCTTCTCCATCATATCAATAATTAAATTGCCGATCATATACATAATCTTGTTAATAATATAACCGTTTATTTTATTTAACTCCTCATATAATTGTTTCCATTGTATAATTTTTCGAATATCATGCAAGCTAAAATTTGATCATTAACTCACATAACCTAATTCATTCCCCTCTTATGTTGCATTTGGGCCAACACAATTTAGCACACAATATTTTTTCATATTATCCAAAGATAAGATTTTATAATATGATTAATATGTATGCTTTCCTTATAGCATTAGAGTTACAATTACACAACATTAAAATTTCCATTTTAGATTATAGAGAAATTTGGTAGGTTTTGATATTTAATTTTGGATTTTTTTAACTATTAACCATTGGATCATAATCTAATTGTCCATATAAAAGGTACCAAACAGAAGCTATGGTTTATAACTTCCATGATCATACGATCTATATATTTTACTTTGTTTTGTCTCACTCTCTCTCTCTCTCTCTCTCTCTCTCTCACTATGTATATGTTATGCACTTTGATTTCGACCCGCAAATCATCCCAAGAGCTTACCTTCTCCACCAAAGATGATGCCCATCAGTACCAATCCCCCATCTAACCCTCTAGTTTTTCTTTGACAACTCTACATGCATGCCACCATTTCATAGTGAATATCTATCGAAAATCCTCCCCAATCAATACCTATCGAAATTGGAAGCCCATGGTTGCATCCTTCAGTTGGGGAGAAGGGATCAATTGAAACCTCAGAGTTGAACCACATGTGTCCCTCTTTTTCTCTGTCCTTCAAACTATTGGGGAATGCGATGCACGGGGTATATAATGTATCATATCTTTTTCAATTTTCCTTCCTCGTCATTCCCCACCACTTAAAAGTTAAACAATTAATTATAAAAAAATCATGTGGTAAAAGTAGTTTTGTAAAAATAAATTTAAATAAATATTGGTTCTTTAGAGATGGGCTAAAGGGAAGTTTATAAGAATACATGATACATTGTGATGGAAGAAGTCTTATATTTCCAATTTAATAATTCAAAATTATAAGAAATAAGTAAAGATGAAGGGAAGGCTTCTTATACACTCTATTCTGAAAAATGATTGCTTTATAAATAAACTATCTAATGTATAATTAGATAAGTAACTAATTGTTAATATTCTAATTAAAATTATATTGCTAGGTATGGGCGTGGTGTTTGGCCATAATTGAATTTATGGTGATTAGTTAATACAATACATTTATGATACATGTGTAATGGGGGGTACATAAGTGCATGCAATTGCATAATAATTCATAAACTATATTAATACATGGCAAAATTGTTTTATATTAATTTGCTTATATTGATAAGGTTTATTTATGGACCAACCAATGATAAGAGTGGATTTAAATTTGGAGGTAAAATTGGCTCATAAATTTGGTTTATTTTAGAATTAGAAAGTGAGGTATAGAAATGCATTTTATTAATTTGGACATACTTTAACAATAGAGGGCAAAATTGGGAATGGAATAAATTTGATTGGTAAATGTCAGAATTTATCGTGACCCAGCCTTGACAATTTTTGGGTTAAAGTAGTCAGATAGTTAAAAGTTCAAATGTGAATAGGTGTTGGGGTAATTTTTCAAATATAAGGTTTTGTCGGTATAAATACATCAAATATTAAAATTGATCCTAAAATTAACCATCTTGTTACCCTTAGAGCGATAAAAGAGTTCTCCAATTATTGTGATTGTATTAATCACACAGCACCCTACAAAAAATTTGTATCCTAAGAAATGTCCTTTCCAAAGGTGGCGACCTTCCACCAGCTCACACTTATTAAATTCATTAATTCTTCTCCTCTAGTTAAAGTAAGAAACTTGATATTTTAGCCGCCAAAGTTCCTCTTCGTACCCCCAAAAACTCGCCAGGCAATTAATCGCCTACAGAGAATGTTCCTCGAAAGTCCCATTTCAGTTACCTCACTTTTTCTTTTCTATTTCAAATATTTAGGGTGGGGAGTGGGGGGCGGGGTGCACAACACTTTCTTTTCTTCTGCAGTCTCCTTTTCTGGTGGGCCCATTGCCACTCTCTCTCTCTCTCTCTCTCTCCACACTAAATACACGCACGCATGCACAGCCCTACCCACCCAGCCATCATAATTCTCTCTCGTAATTCCCCAGTATATAAGCTCACTTATGGTTTCCCCTCGTTCTTCATCCTTTGCCCTTTCCTCAATCAATATATAGACTCATATAGAAATACAGATTCAGAGTCGGTCACTGTACTTCTTACAGAAGTCTGTAAACAATGGCAACGATTTCAACAGCTTCAATGCTCGACTCCAATTTCGACGTCGACAAGCTCACTTATGAAATCTTCTCCATCCTGGAGAACAAATTCCTCTTTGGATGCGATGATCCAAAGCTTTCTCTCACAAATGAAAATGTAATTCCGGTAAAAGGAATGAAATCCGGCAAACAATTCAATGGAAAAGTCAGAATTCTCTCCATCGACGGCGGTGGTTCCATGGACGGCATACTCGCCGCCAAGTCTTTAACCCATCTGGAGTCCTATCTGCGTCGAAAATCTGGAAAACCGAACGCTGCCATTGCAGACTACTTCGACGTTGTCGCCGGCTCCGGCGCCGGTGGCATCCTAGCCGCCCTTCTCTTCACTCGAGGAAAAGAAGGCGGCCCAATGTTCACTGCCGATGGAGCTCTAAACTTTATGGTGGATAATCAACGGAGAATTAGCCGGACATCACCGGGGGGAATACTCCGTAGAGTGTTCAGACCAGCGAATGCTGAGAAAGTGTTTTGTAGGACATTTGGGGATTTAACACTGAAGGACGCATTGAAGGCGGTTTTAATACCGTGTTACGATCTCAACACCGGAGCAGCGTTCTCTTTTTCGCGTGCCGATGCTTTGGAATTTGACGGCTACGATTTCAAGATGAGGGACGTGTGTGCGGCCACTTCGGCTAGTGTTAGGCCGGTTGAGATGAGATCTGTGGACGGAAGAACGAAGATCGTAGCCGTCGGTGGTGGAGTGGCCATGAACAATCCGACGGCCGCGGCAATCACGCATGTGCTTAATAACAAGCAGGAGTTTCCTTTATGTAATGGAGTTGAGAACCTGTTGGTTGTGTCCCTTGGTAATGGCGAGCCACACTCAGGCGCCGGAAATCTGACGGTTTCACCGGCTGCCTTCGTTAAGATCGCCGGAGAAGGAGCTTCCGACATGGTAGGTGTCCTTTTCTTTTGTAATTCTGTCATAATACAATACTAGCAGGAAATAGACAAAATTAGACTTAAAATTAGACTTGATAATCTCAATCATTAATTTCACTGTGGGTCCCATCATTTATTAGGATCTACTATCTATTCAATGGTTGAGATTATCAAGTCTAATAAATCTAGTTTTTAAGTCCATTTAGCATTACTCTTTGTCAAAATATTATGGGCCCCACTTCGTAACACATGGCTACGGTGTTAATTCTTCGGGGCCGATCACGTAACATTTTTAATATCTCTTATTTTGAGAGTATCGGCGGAAGAATTTTAATCCACTTTTAACGGCTGATAGTTAAAATTGAGAATAAAAACAATAACAAAAATACCCTGTCTGTTCTGGTGTAGTTGGTCCTCATTAATTTGTCCATTAAATATTGCAGATATTTAATATTACAATATTCTTTTTTGATAATTATGAGTTCCTATTTTATATTTAATGCAGGTTGATCAATCTGTATCCATGGCATTTGGTCAGTCTCGGACAAATAATTATGTTCGTATTCAGGTAATTATCTTATTAGTAATTCAGCAATTCTATTTTTCCTTTGTTATATTAAAACAATTTTCACTTAACAAGAAAAAAAAAATTTGTTTCAGGCAAATGGGACTGTTGGCAGAAGGCTTGGAAATCCAGAGAAGGTTATGAAAAAAAGTGACAAGATAAACATGTTGGCCATGGCGGAGGAAATGTTGGCACAGAAAAGTGTTGAATCTGTGTTATTTCAGGGGAAGAAGCTAGTTGAAAGCACCAATTTGGACAGGTTGGAGTTATTTGCTGGAGAGCTAATCAAGGAGCAAGAACGGAGAAAAACAAACATTTTACCAACAGTGATATTGAAACAGGCATCACCATCTCCCAGAACATCCTTTGCCACGACTTTGTCAACCGTGTCTTCGTGTTAGTCGGTTTAATGTGACGTATTTAGATGAATTTATTCGATATGCATAGCTGCCACTCCCGATGAATTAAGGCGCCCGAGTCCATTACAAATATGATTATGGTTGAGTTGAGTTGTGTTGTATGTATAATTATAAACAGTCTTAATTTTGTATATATTTGGAATTGAGAGAGAATTGTTTGATGCTAAACATATATATTAACTAAATTGGTGCTTCTACTCTTGTGTATTTAGTAGTAATGAAATGGATCAGTTATTGATAGAGCGAAAATGTTCCTTATGTACTCCACAAGAACGTTTAGATATCTGTATTTGTTCTCCAAAGGTAAAATATCTGCATATGACTTCCAAAGACAGATAAGAGAGAGTTCACCAAATCAATCCATCAGAGGATCTAATCAAGTAAACTTAGCATATGTTGATTCAAAAGTAATTCGATCTAATATGATGAAAAAGGGCCCATCTCACAAGTAACCGTTGCCTTAATTATAGCTCACAAGCTCCAATAGATAACAAAAGCTATGGTATAAAGAGGAGACCCACTAAAAGCTAAAGTTAATAGTCTACCATTGGGTGAAAATATAATAAAGAGAATTTCAATCTTATTTGTCCCAGTGACCAACGTCAACTACTCCATTCACTTCTAAGAATTCACCCATGGTCTCTCTCAATTTGTACAGCAGAAGATAGTTTACTACTCAAAGGTAGCATTTAGAGTATCTCCAATTATAACTCAAATTTTTATTCAAATTTAAAATAATATTTGAATAAAAACTTGATTTAACATAAAAGACTCTAATGGACAAACTCAAATTTAAAGAATGAAAAAAACAAATTTAAATTATGGCAAAACAAAATTTAAAAGAGAACAAAAATGACTTGAATCTTTAAAAGTAGGTGAAATCTCACAATTAAAAATTTAGGTAAAGATTTGAATTTCTATTAATTTGAGTAAAAAAATGAGTCTCCCTTAATTTGGTATAAGTTTAAGTCAAAAGTTGAAATAAGTTTTTTAAACTTTTTTACTCAAAAGTTTTTTAAATTTTTTTACAAAAATTTAAATTTAAATTAGGATTAAATAAGCCCTCAAGCCCTTTCCCATTGAGCTAATCTCTTCGCAATGAAACAGAGTTTAGTCTCCTAGAGGAGGTCGATGCACCTTTTGACCAACCATAACTTGCGCAAGTCTTGGGCAAAAAAAAAGGGTTTTAGTAGGGGCATAGTTAAAAATATTGTGCAGTGGGGGCAATTTAGACTCGTTAACAAATTAAAATGATAATATTAGTCTTATTTTAGTGAAAAAATAAAATTTTAATTATTTTTTTGAAGTATGCTATCATTGAAAAATGTTAAGGGGTGGCGCAACCCATGTGATATACGGAAAGAGCCAACCAAAAAATTAACCATCATTAAACATTCAATTTAACCGTTAATCTTAGATTAGGAAATATGATTGAATCGATTACTTGTTGTATCCAGGTGTTAGAAAAAATTGATCATTAGGCTAGTAGATTTAAACCCATTGAGAGTAAGCTTTATTGCTCAGTGGTCTAATGTCACTTGCCCATATATATGGACAAGCAATATTATTGAGATCTAATTCATTGTAATAATTAGATTAATTGTGAGTCCTATTAAATATTGAAACTTGAGAAATTTGGATGTCAGTCCCCCCTAGATGGATTTGTTTGGAGATAAGTCCTACAAAGAAACTTATTTGGTTTCAAGTCCACTTTTTGCAACTTTTATTATTATACCTTTAATTATTTAAAAACCTCAAACGATGTGTAACTTGCCATTTGTAAACAAGACAGAGAAACCTTTCGCTGTCGACTAGGAACCCAGTAACTTCTCCTTTATTCCAGGCTACAAATTCGGCTATATTCCTCAAATCTTTCTCATTTTCCTTCTCCCGAAAAACATAAACTACCATTACCCAAAATCGAATCCATTCAAATTTCAAACTGTTTTCAAACCATAAGACCGAAAATCGGTTTTACTCTTCAAGTTTCATTGGCGAAAGTTACAGTTGGTCTTGGCATTCAAGAAATCTTCACAAAACTTTGAGATTCTTAAAAAAATTGAGAGATATTTGATTTTACATGATCTTTGATGTATGTTTTAGGGTTTTAAAACAACATTTACAAACTATTTCATTCATACTGTCCTTAGTTTTTTTTTTTTTTACAATAAAATTGTGATTCCTTGTTACTATATTGAAGAGTTAGGTATTATGATTTTGTTTTTTTATTTCATTTTGTAATACATTCGAAATGCATTGGTATGGTTTATGTGGACTTTCTCTTGTTACTGTTAGAGCAATTTCCAAAAATGTATTATGGAAAATTTGATATCTTGAATTTGATGTTCTTTGTTTTGGATTCCTAAATTTAAATATGAGATTCATTATTACGAATTAAAAGTGGATTGATTTCTATTTTGTTGATTTCTTTGTTGTTATAGACAATCAATTAGTAATTGATTTTGTGGTTGTGAAAATACATCATGTTACTATGTGTTAACTACAGTCCCGTTTGGTAACGTTTATGTTTTGTGTCTTTCGTTTTTATTTTGATATTTAGATAAAACAAGAAAAAAAAAACTCATTTGCTAATCGTTTTTTTTTTCTGTCATTGTTTTGTAAACGAAGGGCGATTTTCAAAAATGAGAAAAAGACGTTTTTCTTTTTTTTGATTCTTTTTCTCGTTTTTTAGAAAATCAAAAACCGTAAACGTTACCAAACGAGCCCTACAATACGGGTTTCATAATTTCAATGTTTGAGATTCTTTTATGTTACTGTAAATGTTACTTTGAATTGATGTTACTGTGAATGTGTTAGTAATCACAATCCTTTGATTTTTCTTTGAGAATTAAAGGTATATGTTACATCATAGATCTCTCAGGCTTTGCATTTGCTAGTGTAAAGCTAAAATTGATGTTACTTGTGTGTCACTATTTGAAATGCTTGCAATCATCATTGTGCAATCTTCAAATCAACTGATTTCCTTCTCACTGGGATTCAGTTAATAAATTAATGTTACTATGATCATGTTACTAAGATGTTACTATGTGTTCATCAGCAATTTCGGTGTTACTATTCATGTTACAGTTGCACATAGTTTTTGTTAATTGTTGTATATCTATTAAGTTAAGTAAATTTGTGTCATATTAATATATTTTATTAAGTTATTGATAATTCATTGTCATATTATTGGTTGATGTCTTCAAAAACATCCTTATTTCACCAATTAAGGTCCAACTTGCTGCCAATGGTGAAGGTTATTAGTGACCTAAACATCAAAGATGTTCACGAAGAACAGTTGAGGAGAACACCATTTTTGTATTTGTATCAGACAATATCAACATCTGAAGTTGATAAGGAATGGTTCAAGAAGAATGAAAAAAGTATTGTGGACATCATTAACATGTTGATGTTGAAACATCCAGATTTAGAATTGGTGGGAAAAATTTAAAGATATGGAAGACTGATGTGTCCCTCATTTTTGGTATAAAAGATGGTGTAGATCCAATTGTTTCCCCCCAAAGTGCAAAGTAAATGTCACCTTTTGTAAGGAGGAGATTCAATAACACCCAAAGATTGAAAGCACCAATTATAAAAGCAAGTTGGAGGATGCTGCAATGGGTGATGGTAAGGAAGATTGTGAAGACTTTGCTAGGTTATTCTCTTTATATGTCTTAGTGACATTACTGATTACAAATATGAGGCAAACAATTGGATGAGGGTATGTCTCATACATTGAAAATTTAGATGAAATTAAAAGATATGACTAGTGTCAAGCAACAATTGATGCAATGATTAATTCCATACGGTTAAAGATTGACACACCGAGTGAAGTAACCGGTTGTGTAATATTGTTACTTGTAAGTGATGAGCACAAAACATTGCATAGTTATTGGCCTCATTTCATGCTTTTTAACTTAAGTTTGCATATTAATTATTTAGAATTAGTTAAAGTTAGGAATAATGTGAAAATTTTGATGTTGTAGGTAATTATAACATAAATGATGGCTTTTAGAGCTTTGCAACTAAGTGTGAATGTGTGGTGAAGAGATGCACACATTTAATGAGGATAAGAAGGCTTGGAAGGTGAAAAAACCAAGAAAAATAAAATTTGGATGAAAACCTTCCGAAAGGTTTGGCCCACTAGTTTCCCAAGGTCTTGACATAGTCCCACCGTGTTTCCCATGTTTGACCATGATCTATTTCGAATCTAAAAAAGGTGCAAAATCTGAAAGCTGTAGATCTAGATATCTTCTATATTGTGTCAAACTTTCAGCTCAATCTAACGGTTGGATCCAAAGTCATGACAATTTTACTAAAAGTGGTCATGAGCTGTCACCTTCCGGAAGGTTTTGCCTACTAGAATCAACCTTTCGAAAGGTTTTGCTTAGAATGTCCAGAACACCTGCAACTCATGTTCCACTTGCTCGGAGGTCCCACAATTGATTCTCCCACTTGTCCCCTGACATCCCTTACACAGCTACATGCCTCCCAACACCCCTTGCTTAGACTTTGGAGGCCATTGCATTAATGAGGATGGGAGAGAAGGGGGGCAGCCAGGGGAGTTGCAGGCTGGCCTTCTCCTAGTCTGTCCAAGCTTCAACTCAGCCTCCTATTCATAGGAGGTTTGCACACACAAGCTAGAAAAGCCTCATGGACGAAATTTGCATATTCTCTCACCATATATTCAGCATTCCACAACATTTGAGGGGTGGCTACCTATGCTAGAAATAGTTCAATGTAGAAGATGATGAATAGTAATTAGAAAGCTTAAGCCATGTTTGGTTATCATCTCGGAAACAATTTTTTGTTCTCAAAATTTCAAAAACACCAAAAACCTGTTTGTTTAGCATTTTTGTTCTCTAAATTTTGAAAAAAAAAAAAAAGAGATTTGAGTCAAAAAAATAGAAAACAAGTGTAGCTTGTTTTCAAAGCTTTCTTTGAAAATTTTGGAAACAAGGAGAACAATATATATATATTTATATATTATATATATATATTTAAATATGTATATATATGTAACACACTCCTTCCACATGACATAATATTGTTCGTTTTGGGTCCACTGGCCCTCACGGCTTTGTTCCTCCTAGTATTCTTGAGAAAAGACCTTATGTCATGTAAAGCAAGGGGCTTACTAATAAACCCAATCACTTTCCTCTCCCTAATCGATACGGGACACCAAAATCTCACAATCCACCCTCCTTAGGGCTGCACGTCCCTGTGTAGCAGCTCGCTA